GTAATTGTCTAATAATAAATAGTTGAGAAATATGATTCAAATTATAATATATGTATAGTTCTCTAGATATTGTTATGTTTTTAATTGACAAATTTTCATTTTTATTCGCTTTGGAACTGATTTTCTAGAGTGACATAATAAGAGTAGATAAGATTGAATAAAAGAATAATATCTTTGTTCTCTGATAAAATGAAAAATAGAACTTACCTGCAAAGTATAGACACAAACATGAGTTACACTCCGAAATTATTACAAATTGTCAAACTCGCCGCGAACGTCAACATCGTTGGCCACCACTCGGACGTGCAGAAAAAGAATAATAGTAATATGCAATTTATTAATACTGCTAATGTTTCCTTTTTAATTTTAATATACGTGTATTTATTATTATATTGATACCCGAGAGATCTAACCAAAAACACTACCGTGTTTACATCAATTTTATCAACCCAGCGGATAAATCAGACCGATAAATCAGGGTCACTGCAGGACCCAGCGAACATTGATTCGCTAGATTCTACAATAACCCTGACTTCAGTCTGATAATCCGCTGGGTCGATAAGATTAATAATAACATCTCGTGACAGACGTTGCAGCCGTACAAAGGCGACGATAATGACGTTTCTTAAAGTAAAAATTTCCAAATCGGACTTTGTGTAGCAATATCTCTGCTTGTAGGGCACGTAGCAGAAAAATAAAAATACTTTTATTATGCAAGTCGGACTACTCAAGCTATCGATCAAGCCTACTTAGAACTTGATCAGTATAACCGTTATTGAGATTCGATAATTTCAGATGCTCGAATCTCGACGACTCGCGTAAAGTCACACGGCAGTGTTCTCGGTTGACTTGACACCCGAGACACTACCGTGTCTCCTGATATAAGAAAACTGTATGGATGTATTATTATTATTATTATTATTATATGTTAGATTATATACGAGAACGGTTTGAAAAGTCCGAAAAATAGCACCATTGGTGTGTATCGAGGTTATTTTTAGTTAATAGCATCTCTTGGAAGAACACATACCAAATTTCAGCCAGATCTATTTCTCTGTATTTGGCGTTCGTCTGAATCGAGGAAGTTGTGTGATTTCTAAAAAATGGATGAAAGAGAATTTCGTGTGTTAATCAAGCATTATTTTATAAAAGGCAAATGGCCTCAGGAGACTAAAAAAAAGTTTGATAAACATTATAGTGAATCAGCACCTTCGATTAGAACAGTTTATAAATGGTTTCAAATGTTTCGGAGTGGCCATATGAGCACGAGTGACGCTGAACGTTCTAGACGTCCTGAGGCTACTACCTCCTACTACCTTGAGGCTACTACTACTCCAGAAATCATTGATAAAATCCATGATATGGTAATAGATGATAGAAGAGTCAAGGTGCGTCAGATTGTTAATGCTGTGGGCATCTAGAGTGAACGGGTACATAATATTTTGCATCAACATTTGGGTATGAAAAAGTTATCTGCAAGATTGGCGCGATTGGTCACAATTGATCAAAAACGAAATCGTATGAAGTGTTCCGAGGAATGTTTGCAATTGTTCCAACGGAATCCATAGAACTTTAGGTGTCGTTATTGTGAACAAAACATGGATATACCACTACACGCCTAAGACCAAAGAACAGTCCAAACAAGTGGGTTGCCAGCGGAGAATCTACACCAAAAAAGGCGAAGACCATTCCTTTGGCCGGGAAAATTATGGCGATTGTCTTTTGTGATTCGCAAGAAATAATATTCATCGACTATATGAAAAAGAGTAAAACTATTACAGATGAATATTATTCATCGTTATTCACCGTTTGAAAATCGAGCTGCAAGAAAAACGTCCACGAGAACCACAAGAAAATCCTTTTCCATCACGACAACGCACCACTCATTCCTCCAGAGTTGTGGCCGCAAAATTGATGGAGTTATGGTTCCAACTCGTTCCACATCCCTCCCTCCTCCTATTTTCCAGATTTGGCTCCCTTGGACTATTACTTATTCCCCAATGCGAAGAAATGGCTAGCGGGAAGATTTCATTCAAACGAGGAGGTGATTGCGGAAAACGAATGCCTATTTTGCATAATTGGACCAATCATATTATTCGGAAGGGATCAACAAACTTGAGCAGTTGGATGAAGTGTACAAGCTTAAAAGGAGATTACGTTGAAAAATAAAAAAGGTTTATTTCGAAAAATTAAGTAGTTTTCATTTTTGCACAGACTTTTCAAACCATCCTCGTATAGATTTAGGATATCGTATTAGATTATAGCATATAAGGTAGAGATAATGAATAATTTGAATGTAAATGCCGTAGTGTAAATGCCGAGTGTCGAGAAAGAATACGTGTAGGATGGGGGAATCTTGAAGATAGGACCAGAATGAAAAATTTGGATTCTGGTAAAGAAGATCAAACAATCGGCTTGTGAAAATGTAAAAGAGAAGCTAATAATAAGGAAATGAGAGAGAGCCACCGTCACGAGAAATATCGTCCACAATATTATCCAGAGGATGGTAATGTGGCTTTGGCATTTGTATTTTCTGTCGAGACGAAATCGAACCGTTTTGAGATGACCGACCGAAGTTAGAAACAGAGTCAACGTATCAATTTTTATTTTGGTAAGAATCTTGCTTTACGTGGCGGTTGGAAACAAACATTTGTAGCCTGGTGATCTTATCAATCAGCGTCACTTGACAATTGTCGCCAATGGATTCCTCATTCGTACTGTCCGATCAATTACTATTTATAATAAATTGATTCTTCGATATAATTCGATTATAATTATTACAATTTGAATAACCTTAGGCTCACTCTGATAATCAGCTTATAATTTATTACTGACAATTGACTTAATTAGCAAAGAATTCCACAGCGAATTATTAAAAATATTCAATAAAATTAATCACTATTTAGTCTATTTTTTCGATTGTGTATTCGAAACTCTCCGAAAATCAAAGGGAATTAATCCTGTTTAAGAGTTTTCGTTTATTATCCGCGACTGTCACATCGGCAGTTTCTGATCATCGATTTTAATAAGATATTGTAAATATAGTAGTATTCATTTATTATTATAATATTAAAGCCATAAAATATATACTATTACACGTGTATACACACACACA